TTAACATCTACCCATAAACAAAAGCATTTATGGAAGGGGAGGGAAGGGTGTCACAGACCAATACTTGAAATAATTTCTCTGTGCTTCTTGCTCTGATTTAATGCACTATGCTTTCCACTGCTGGCCACTTTCTTACACTTGCTTCTCCTTTCCATTTCTGTTTCTCTACATGACTGTTTATTTCTCCTGTCTTTTACAATGCTGATGGCTTTGGCAGATAACAAATGTGTGTCTAGTCTTGGGTTTTTCTTGCTCACCATGTTTGGATGCTGGCTTTGGAGCCTGGCTGGGGTTTGTCTGAGTATCTCTGTCCTGCCTCACCTGTAGCACAGCTGTGATAGGACTTGTGGGGATCACTTCATGTACTCTTTTGCCACTTTGTTATGCCTGGGGACAAAAGAGAGGTGACAGCAGGAGTAAGGGGGCAGGCAGTGACCTGCAGAAAACAAGAATTTAGTCATCCTGATCTGAACAATGATCTTTGTCTGATTGTAGGCTCTCAAGAACAGGAGACACCCTCAATCTAATTTACAGCAGAAATCTCAGTCTCTGATGTTTTTACAATACTTCCCCTAAGCTAAGGATGCTGATGCTCCCTTTCAACTTTCCCTTCTCGAAGATGGTTGCAACAGAAGTGCAAACCAGCCTCTCTTACTGGGAAGGGCCTTAACCATGTCACCCCTCTCTTTTTTGTACCAGCTTTACCATTATTCTGAGTAAATCTTTATTATGGGAAAATAATGGGTGGAAGAAAGTACTCAAATATAATAAAAAGACTGAGAATTTGTAAGTGCAAAACCCCTCCATGTTCTCAGACTCAGCCACAGGAGCATCCACTCACTTCTCCAAAGAGCAAGCCCCGGAGACTGGCTTGAGAGGACCTGCAGTGAGTCCCAGGGCTGCTCTGAAAGCACCTGGCAGAGCTCCTCTGTTCCTGTGTGCCAGAGTGTGCACAAAGCTCCAAAGGAGCTGGGCGTGTATGGTGTCCCCGGAATTCCAAGCCATTTGTTATAGTGCCCAATGGCCTCCTTAGGGTGTGACATTCACTTGTGACTACACCTGGTGCTGCTTTCCTGTTGTTAGCCCATTATTCCCAGGTATGCTTCTGGCCAATGCTTTGTTGGTGGCAGTTTCTGGGAAGCAAATCGAGCCCTCGTTGGCCAGTTCCCAAGCTGGGCAAAGCCAGGGCAGCTCTGCCTGCCGTCAGCTGTGCAAGGGGCTGCCTTTCACTCCTAGCTATGCACCCTCCCAGCCTCCTGGCCCGCATCCAATCCAGATAAGAAATGCCTGAAAGTTGTTGCTGTTAGCCAGCTATTCTGTGACCTGCATGAAAGGAGTGAAATGACCTCGGGACTAGTCTCGGCACACAGCCGTCTGCCCACAAACCGTGGCAGCCGGAAAGCCTCGCTACTCGGACCAAAGGCTGGCAGGACAAGTATTTTCTTGGCGGCTGCTCCTCACGGATGGGAGGGGAGGCAGCAGCAAGCTGATTCGCAAGAGCTCCCTCGCTGCTTGCTGTCCCTAACAAGATCTTTATGAGGTGTTAGTGTAAATTGAGTTGTTTTACTTTGAAACCAATCGTGGGCTGTTTCCTGCACGATGATCTGTGGCAAAGAGGGTATTTAGTGGTGATATCTTGTGGTGGCAGGAACAGGAGAGAGCCCTTTTCCCCATGACTCTTATCTCCAAATGTTCTCTTTTCTGTGGTGCTGGGCTCTGCTGAAGCCACTCGCCCTGCAAGGAGGACCAACAATGCCATTCTGCCACGGGGATGCTGCAGGGCGTCCTCCTGCCTGCTTCCCAGGTCTTCCTGTGGTGTACAAGCCTTCCAGCAGGCTGCACAGGCCCTTCCTTCAAAATTGTTTTCAGTAGTATGTGGAGAAATTTGGAAGGAGCCATGGAACTGAAGCTGAGGTTGCCCATGACAGACAGCGTCATCCTTTAAACACCACCAGGCCATAATGCACAGGATTATTTTTACCATGTACTGGGCTTTAAGTGCTTTGGGTAACAAGAAAATCTTCAGCCCGAGTAACAAAAAAATGCCAAGGAGGACACTGTGGTTGAAAGAAGAAGGGTTCTTTCTGCGTGGGGATGGGGGGCAGCTAATCTTGACAACATCCTGCAACTTGTTTCTGCTTTATTTGCCATGTCCGTGGCCTGTGAAATGCTGCTTGGGAAAAGGGGAATCCATGGGTGGATGGAGATGTGGAAGGTTTACAGAAGTGTGCTTTGTATCTGTACCCCCTGGAGTCCCCAGCTTTTTTTTTTCTTAATTCTCAGAATTCCTCAGCATATCTTCTTCTGCCTGAATCTGACTAAATGACTCTCCTGCAGCCCTGTACCTTAGGGCTGGGTTTTTGTCTTGCTGGGAGCTGGGGTTTCCATTTTAGGCACTGAGTTTCTAGTTGCACATCTAAAGAGAAATGATGTTCTCATCAGAGGCATTCCCCATCCCTGCCACAAGCGTTTCCTGTAGCAGTTTAGGCAGGCACTCAGGCTTTCTGGAATCCCTCAGGGGAGCTCCTGGTTGATGGCAGCTAACCCAGACACTGAGGGTCCCATCATCAAGTGTAGCTGGCTCCTCCAAGCAGGGGAAGTACCTGGCTGAGAGACAGGTCTGCTGTTACTCTGTCTGCTGACAGGTGACTCTCATGGTCAGAGGGCTTTCATCTCCAAGTCTTTGAACTGGCAGGTATTTTGCATAAATGGAGTAGAGTTCTAGGTGTGAGTTTTTAGGGTCAGTACTCTTCTCAGCGAGGTCCAAGCAGTCTTCAGGTGGTGCTGAAGATGAATGAGCTGGGCTGGCTGAAGGTACCCACTGCAATTTCCACAGAACCTACCTTGCATCCACCCTAATGCTTCCTTTAAAGGGCACAGTGATCCAGTGCCCTTCTCTCTGGTGTAGCAGAGCTCTCTTCAGCAGGTTTATCTGAGAATCTGTCACCATGACCATGGCTGGGGAGAGGAGTCCCTCTGTCCATCCCGTGTTTCTAAAGCACACATCCATCCTTTTTCTTGCACCTTCTTCCCCCTCAACTGTTTGGAAGACTCATGAGCACTGTGGGGTTTTTAAAATAAAATTGTACCTTCCTGATTTCCCTCTAGCTCTGACTGACAGCATTAAGATAATTTGTGATGCTGACTAAGCTCTTTCCCCCCCTAATATTAGTATTGCTTAAGTGAAAATTGCTTACAGCTGATTTCATGCCAATAGTGTTACAGTTGATACTGCTTCAAAGTTGCTGCAATGGTATCTTGGGTGATCAAATGAACATGGCAACAATGCTGGGAGTTACTTGACTGAGAGCCAAGTACTGCTTTTGGAAATACTAAAATGATCAGTGCATCTAAGGAAGGAAAACAAACACCCTGCCCAGCAGTAGTAACATGCTTTAAAAAAATGCATTCTGCAATAATGGGACACTTGTGCAGACCAATGCAACAGTCCCGATGTCTAAACTGCTTGGAAAAGATGACATGATGTTGGTTTAGGCTGCGAATAAATATGTGGGAATCTATATGAGTTTATTTTTTGGAGGTCACCTGTGAGGATGAAGCCATTAAACTCTCTCTGGGGAAAGGTACCACGTTACTCCCCATTCCACCAGCCCTCCCTGCTGCTGCTGAGCACAGCCCAGGCCAGCTCACAGCTCTTGCTGTGATACCTGGGGTATTGTTGAAGAGCCACAAAGGGTATAAAACCTTTGCAAAACATTTATTAGAGCACTTGAATTCCCTGTGCCTTTCAAAGGAACTGTTTATTAGAGCAACTTTTATTAGGGAATTAACTTGAAGCACAGTTCAACAGCTATTGCTCTTGATTGTAGGCTCCTAAATGCTGCTTGCTCTTAAAGCCTTCATTTTCCCATGAAAATGGGAATTGTTTTGGAGTTTTTCTTCTTCGAATGGAATCATGTATGTGGAATACTCGTACAGATCTGGATTACAGAGCATCCACTGCAATTACTGAATCTGGAATTGCCAAGTGACACTCCTGAAAAATTTTACCTTCCCAGTACTGAGGCAGCAGAGATTATACACAGGGTCCCTGTAAAGTAGGTCAATTTTAATAACCATTTCTGCTTTGTGTTCGTTCAGCATATTCTACAGGCCAGCCCGTTTTGCTCCATTCAACTCGTAACATTCACTAGAGCTCTCTAAGGGAATTAATAGTCTCTGCCACAGTTTTTCATGCCATCAGCCCTGTGTTTTATTTCACAGCATTCTTACACACACACAGTTTTTACCTCTGGCTCACCTCCCCTGAGGCAGGTCTTCAGTATGAGCCCAAAAGTAATGGACAGAGCTTATGAGTCTGCCGATAGTTTCCAAGGAGTGATTCACATTTGCTTATTGCCTTTAGATAAAGACTCTGAACATGCAGCTCAAGTTAGAGGAGGACAAGGTGGGACACTGTGGTTATGGGTGGTTTTTAAAGGACAACTCTGTTCTCAGAGGTGCTGCTCTCCTGAATAAAGGCACCCCAACCCACCTCCTGAGAGCTGCTGCCAGGACAAACAAACTTCAGATACCCACTTCCTCTTCACTTCCCATGAGTCTCCCAGCATCCCAGGCAGGGGCAACGCAGCCTCCTGCAGCTGCACTTTCTGCATGTTCAGGACAGGGGTTAACAGCACCGAACCTGCCTTGTCTCCTACGCACATCTGCAGCTCCCCACACATCTTCCCTGCTCCAAGCGCTGAATTTATAAAACTTGAGTGGAGGGAAAAAAGTAAACCTGGAGATTATGCTATGCTGCTCCTTATTCCCTTCTGCACATGAAACCTGCTCCAGGAGAACTGCCTCTCTGCTGTACTGCTCCTTATTCCCCTCTCCCACCCCTTCAGGCCACAGGTAAGTCACCTTGGGCAATTCTGGCAAATACACACATCTTACAGCCCGGAAGCCATTTATAAATAGATTTTTATTTATAAAGTCAATTTACATAAAATATGATACTCTCTTAAAAACTGCATATGTACAACATAAGAAATCCTAGCAAGTGCATACAAAAATGCCTTCAATACATTTTTTTTTAAAACTTCAGTTTTCAGAGAGGTGGACCTTCACACCAGGCAAACTCAGACACCACGTTAAAACACAACATAAGTTTACAGTCTTTTACCAAAGTGTTTGGAGAGAATAATTAAAAAAAAAAAAAAAAGACAAAAACAAAAACCTTTGCATCTATAACGTGTATGTTCCCAAAACATTGCAGTTGGTAGTGTTCAAGAACAAGTGGATAGGACCTGCTAAAAATAGAACCATCTCATCCCTTTTCTCTAAGGTTTGTTGTACAAAAATAAGTCTTCATACACCAGTGTCCCTATAGGCAGTTCAAGTTACATATAAAATAGAATCTGACATGATAAAAAATTCCCTCCCCCTCCAGAAACAAGGAAGCATCAAGAGTTTCTAGTGTCTTTTTTGTTTTTCCCGTTTCCACCCCTCCAAAGCAACACCAGACAGCAGCGGCGGGGGAAAGCAGCTTCGCTGGGGCATCCTCTCCGTGGGTCGGCAGCTCCTGGCGGGCAGGCGGAGCCGCTGTCGCCGCGCAAGGAGCGGGACCCCGCAGTCAACTACCCCATTGCACTTTCCACAACCAGAAGACGACGGCAGAACCCGGCGAGAAAAGCAGCCAGCGGGGCCAGATCGGTACTTTCGGGGTCGGTACTTTCGGGGGATGCTGCTGCCGCCGCCGAGACCGCGGGCGCCGATGTGCTGCGGGCTGAGCGCGGCTGCGGAGAGACGTGAGGAGAGCCCCGGTGGGTTCGTGCCCCGAGCGCCGGGGGAGGAGCGGTGCCCCGTCCCCTCCGCTGCCCCTCACCTCCCGCCGTGTCAGTAGCTGCCCAGCCAGCTGGTGAAGTCCAGCAGCTCCCGCTCCTCGGGGCTGAGCGCCGCGTCGTAGCCGCTCTCCTCGGAGGAGCACGGCGAGCCGGGCGCGGAGGAGGCGAAGGAGGGAGAAGCGGAGGAGTAGCCGCCGCCGCCGACTTCGCCGACGGCCACCCGCCCGCGGCCGTCGGGGAAAGAGGCGGCGGCGTCGTGCTCGTCGAGGAGCCGCTGCAGGGCGCGGATGTACTCGACGGCGGAGCGCAGGGTCTCCACCTTGCTCATCTTCTTGCTGGCGGCGCCGTGCGGGACGTGCTGGCGGAGGGCGGCGAAGCCCAGGTTGACGAGCCGCACGCGGTTGCGCTCCCGCTCGTTCCGACGGGCCACGGCGGCCGCCGCCGCCGCCCCGGTGCCCGGCAGGGCGGCGAAGGCCAGGCGGCGCTTGCAG